AACCTTCAGCACTGCGGCCACTCAGCCAGCGATCCAGTTCCCTCCTTTTTCCTCCCGAGGGTCCAGGACTCTCAGGCCCAGATTCACTGAGGCCCTGGTCCTCCGATCCCAAATCCCTCTTCTGAGGCTCCCACTGCCTGCCCGCCCTCCAGGTGTCTGCCTTAAACTGCTGGAAATAACTCTAGCATCCTGATAAAGATCAGCCCTGCTAAGGAAAAAACAAAGCACACACAGCAGGCTCTCAAATGAAACAGATCAGATGGGCTGCGAGGCCCGGCCTCTCCCAGAGCAGGGCACTGTAACCTTTGGGTCACAGACAGTGGTGGGCTGGAGGCTTCCTTGAGCCTCAGTTTCCTCCAGGGTAAAACTCTACGAATCACTCCAACAATATCTGCTCGTAGGGCCCTTGCGAGAATGAGGGCAAAGGCCATTTGTGAACTACCAAGTGCAGGGGATGCGAGAGATTTTAATGCTCTTGTTACAGTGTCTGTCTTCCTGGTGTATTTTGTTTTGTGTTCCTTTTCCCTTTAAAACACCACTGAGACATTGGAGCTTTGATCCCCTGCAGTGGTCCTCAGCCCCACCCCCCTTGCCCCCAGAGGAAGAGTAGATGGAGAGCAAGGCTTGGGGCCTGGGAGACAGCTTTGGGGCCTGGCTCTCCTGCTTTCCATCTCTCGGAGACTTGGGTCTTCTCCTCGAAACTATGTAGATAATACAGCTACTTCCCAGCTGGTCCCGAATGTTGTCCATCACAGCCCTGCCACAGTCCTTGGCATGTCATGGGTACTCCTGAAATGGTAGCTGTGAACAGGCCAACTTGGCGACCGCAGACTCTGGGCTCTGCTCTGAGCTTGACCACAGAGACTTCCGGCTCTGGACAAGGGACATGGCTCTTGGGGCTCCAGGACCTATAAATTCTGATGCCACTGCCACTTCCTGCCCCCGTGTCAGGAATGAAACAAAGCTCCCACCCGCACTAAGAGGATGGGGTCCTGACAACAGTTGCAAAGAGACACCACCCTTTGAGGCTGTTAGTCTCTCCGTCCTCACCGAGTGCTCTGAGTCCCGTGCAGCTCACACGGTCTCATATCCCTTCCACACGCCTTCCAGCGAGGCGCGGATATTGACACATAGTAACCGTAATCACCTTTGTTGTTGCTGTCCTCCACGTGCAGTGGCTGCCCTGCTCCGGATGGCATGATGAGGAAACTCAGCCGCAGAGAAGTCAAATGACTCATCCAGAGTTACACGAGCAACCAGTTGTGACAGGGCTGGGGCTCAGCTGGTTGACTCAGTGGCAAGTCGTTTCTTCTCGGCCCTGCTGCTAGTCACATGGACACCTGCTGATAATTCTTATGGTCATAGGAGGAGTTCCAGCTCTTGAGCCCCTCTGAATTCCCCAGGCCAGCTGAGCTAGATGCCTGGCATCAAGCCCCAGCCCCGTGCCTGTCAGTCACCATAGTTCCCAGCCTGCGTAGGGCAGAGATGACAGAGAAGGCGCTTTCTGGGCTGGAAATGTTCCGCTTTACATCCCTGAGCTTGAAGGTCGCCTTTCCCCTTCTCTGAGCATCACAATGAATCACTCTGAGCTAGAGCCACTCTCTGCTCACGGAGCATCGCATCTTGCTTTATAGTAATTTAACCTCTGTACAAACTGCCTTATGTGGGCACCATCTCGTCTGAGCCATTTCCCAGAACATCTGTCCATTGGGTATATCTGCCCATTATTCCAGCTCAGATGAGAATCACTGGTGGCTCTCTGCACCCTTGGTCAGAGACACTGCTGTTACCCTAAAGAGGGATGCCTGCATCGGAAGGTAGAATGATGCATGAGGAAGAAGTGGGCCACGCTTCTGAGTACCTACTGCATACACCATCTTATATTGAACTTCACAACAACCCTGTGCAGTAGGTATTTATAGACGTGTTCCATAGATGACGAAGCAAGGAATCAGGGAGGTCAGTATTTGAAAAGTCATCCAGCTAGAAAATGGAGAAACCAAGACCCAGGGATGGTACCCCGGGGGCCCCCTATGTTAGCACCACGCTCCCTACCAACATTCCTGGTCCGACTGAGCTGTTCGAGTTGCTTCCTATCTCAGAGTAGGTCAGGAGACCTCCTGGACCTCATTTCCCTCGTCTACAAAATTAGAGATCGGCTCTTGTGATAAATTGGGCCAATTACAAGGTCAGAGAGTCTTCAACAAGACCACGCTCACTTCTGACACCAAGAGCAAATTCAGGGGGCTCCCCCAACCACCCTCCAGTTTGATGATTCACCACAAAGACTAACAGAGCTCACGGAAACGGCTGTACTCATGGTTCAGGATGCAGACAGATTAGACAGAGGAGTGACAGAGCACAGAACTTGCAGCATGCGGAGTGGGGGTCCAAACACGAAGCTCGTGGAGTCAGGAGGGGTTCCTCTCTGGGCATTGACAGGTGACAACACACACAGAGTGGTGCCCACCAGGGAGGCACACCCAAACTTGACGTCCAGAGGCTTTATCGGGGCCCCATTACGTAGGCATGATTGATTGATTGCCCTTGTGGTTAATCTCAGTCTCCAGGTTGACTGTTGCCATGTGACCCAAAGCCCTCCCACCCCAAGTCACAAGCACAGCCAACCCCCCCAGGACTGTTGAGTGTGGCCACATTTACAGAAGGTCCGGCGTGGCCAAACCTCGCCCTAAATAAAGACACTCATACCGGGTGTGACACAGATTACCTCCCAGATGCCAGAGGGCAGAGGCCAGACTTCTCGCTGGGAAAAGCCAAACTCTCTTCCGTGTGTCTGAAAAGCCCCTTCCAGCTTTCCTCCAGTGCTCACTCCCAGGGCCCTGTGTGCTCCTGGCCGGTCCCCCCAGTGCCAGCTCCAGCCCAGTCCATTCAAACCAATCATCTGGCTTCCAAATCCGTATTCGCTTCTGCCTGCTGCTCATCAGATAGCTCAGTCACGGCATGAAGATTGTCGACCAGCTAAGTGCCGGGTGCCCTGGGGTTGGTTCCACGGATAGATGTCAGCCTTCAGGATCTAGGAGACAGCAGGCCATGTATGGACGAGGACTAGCACAGAGGAGGGGGTTGGAAATACAGGCTGTTTAGAGCAAACAAGCGTTCAGTTACTACCATTAGTATCATGGTTGGGATGGGGTCAAAAGAACATTCGCTTGGAAGATGGCTTACAGGTGTTGTGTTCAGAGAGTTAAAGGATTTCAACCTCCAGAGATGCTGTGGGTCTGCCCCACGGGGGCCATTGGACGAGGGGCCCAGCAGAACCTCAGCTAAGCCAACACCAAGCAGGAGTCCTAAACGTAAAGAGAGAAGACTCTCCACTGAGGGAAGAGTACTGGGTGTTGGCTCCTTCGGTTCTCCCAGCAGTTTATTTATTCCTTCGATTTTCGCTCCTTCTTCTTCCCATGTGTTTTCCCAGCCTGGAGTTCCTGGCAGACGTTCAACATGCCTTCGGGCTCCCCTTCCACCCTGCCTACGAGGGGCAGTTCACTCTGGAGGAGAAAAGCCTGTCACTGAAAATCATGCAGTATTTTTCCAACTTCGTGCGATCGGGGTGAGTGGCCCCCTGGGTCCGGAGGCTACGGTGTGCTTCCCCTCCCTCCCCGTCTCTGAAGGCCAAGGCCGCAGTGCGGCGCGCGGAAGGGCAGGCCCTCCGGTCCCTGCCGCTGGCCTCCCTGCGCAGGCTCCCCTGCTGGGCAGGACTGCCTTTGCGCAGAAGAGTCCCGGTAAAGAGTGGTCCGATCACACACGCTCCCTTGTTCAGGCACCCTTGCTGGCTCTGGGTCAGGGCTCTCGCCCTCGGCACTGTTGACACTGGGCTGGGTTGGGCTCTTTAGCCGTATCTCTGGCTTCTACCCACGAGCTACTGGGAGCACCTCACCCCGTTCCAGTTTTGAGAACTGAAATATATCAGACATCGCCAAGTGCCCCCTGGATGACAAAATCACCCCAAATCAAGGACCGCTGTCTTAGACGGTCAAAGGAAGTCCTGGCAGTCAAGGCGCTCACTGTCTGTCTCTGGCCTCCCCACCCACCTCTCTCCTGGCCCAACCAGCACCCTCACTGACCCCACTCCCAAAACAGGTTCCTGCCCTTCCTTCCTCCCTGCAGTTCACCCGTCTCCCTTTCTGCCAGTCCAGCAGTGGTCACCTAGCGCAGTGCTGGGCCCCCTGGGAAGGAAAAAGATTAAAAAAAATCATTGTTCAGCTATGAACTGCTGACAGTCTGAAACACAAAACCCGACTGCAATTAAAAGCAGGACAAAATTAAGTTTTATACAGTTTGTTGTAGGAGTTGAGCAGAAAGACATTTCATTTGGGATTTAGAAAATATATCCCTGAGCAAGGGGCTTTGAATTTGGGCCTCAAAGGAGGGGTAGGATACTGAGGCTGGCCGAGGAGGAGCTGCCCTGGGAGAGGCGCCTGTGCACAGAGGGAAACAGATCTGGTCTGGAGGATGTCGTCCCTGGTGTGTGGGCTCCGCAGGGGGACATGATGCGAGGTGCGGCTGGGCTGTGAATGTGGGAAGGAGCCGGTGTCTGAGAGGCCGCAACATCCTCTTCAAGGGGAAGTCGGCCTGTAGGTGGCCAGCAGGTTTGTGCGGCCATAGGCCCACCTTCTTGCGCAGGCCTTGGACAGACAAGGTGTTCCAGGTCCTGGCCGTGGTGCCCAGGTGAAAGGACACCGAGACCGAAAGGGACACGGTGACCTCCTGAGCACTGAGAAAGCCAGAAGGGCAGCTGTGCGTCCCGAGGAACACCACTGGGTCATGGGCTCACGTCTTTTCTAGAAATGACGTAAGGGTGGTGAGTCAGGTGTGGGGCTTGGTCCTCAGAGAGCACGTGCAAGTGGGGAGGGACCCCAGGTGATGAAAGGAAAGACGGGGTTCCCTCCTGGGTGCCCCTTTCTTCTCGTTTCCCCAGGAATCCCAACTACCCTCATGAGTTCTCCAGGAAGGCGCCTGAGTTTGCTGTCCCCTGGCCTGACTTCATCCCCCGAGATGGCGGAGAGACCTACAAGGAGCTCAGTGCCCTGCTCCCCAATCGGCAGGGCCTGAAAAAGGCCGACTGCTCTTTCTGGTCCAAGTACATCCGGTCTCTGAGGGCCTCGGCAGGTAGGGAGCCAGGAGCGGGCGGGGCCGGGCCGAGGGCGGTCCTCACACACACTGAGCTCGCTGTGCCCTGGGTCCGCGTGAGCGCACTGGAGCCGCAGGTCACCGGGGTGCCATTGGCACTGCCCTTTCCCATGAGGAGTTCACGGTCTGGCCGGGAGGGGTAGGGCGGCACTCCTCCTTGTTGAGGACTTCCTGTTCTGCTGTGGGATGGGAAGGGAAGAGAGAGAAAACATGGGGGGACCAGGGTGGGAGGGCTGCGGGGGCTGAGTGGGGGACACCTGCAGCATTGGCGTGGGCAGGAGAGACAAGATCGTGGACCTCACGCTCGCTGCCCTGGGAGGCTGGGTGAAGCATCCTGGAGAGGGGCTTCTAGCCAGGGGAGAAGTGGGAATTTCACCTCTTCCCGTTGAAGAGAACTTCCTGTTGTAAAGGCACTAAGGACAGAAAAATGAATCATAATGAGGCTCTGGGAGTATAGAGGTCAGTGCAGTGCCCTTATGAAGCTTCCAGAAGAGCCAGGGAGTGAGTGACATAAGCCAGTGAATGTTCTCTAGCTTTCCTGGTGCTGTGATGGAAGTCTGCCCCAAACTAGTGACACAGCAAAGGAGGGAGGGCTCACGTCTCCCCGGAGGGTCTGGGAAGGCTTCCTGGAGGAGGTGATACTCGGGCTGAGGTTTTCAGCATGACAGGAGCTCTGCAGATGGGGAAGGTAGGAGTGGCGCCCTAAGCAGGGAGGTGACCTTGTTCAATATATGGTTTAGACTCTCAACTGTACTTTTATCTTCCAAGGCCATGTGGTTCTCTGCTGATGACCCCAAGTCCCATGGTGCCCTTAGCACAGCCCTAGAGCTGTGTGACCAGTCTTGTGCCCCACCCCAGAAATGTCCTTCTGGAGGGCATTTGTAGGGAACTTCCATCAGAGGCTAGGGTCTCTTGGGGCCAAAGGGAAAGGGACAAGGGAGGAGAAGTCCTGATCCAAGTTGGACCAGCCTTGCCTCTCCTATTTCAGATGAAGCCGAGGAAGAGCCGTCAGCAGGGAGTGAAGAGGAGGACCAGCCGGCTGGCTCTGGGCTGACAGAAGGCCTCCTGGGTCTCCCAGAGTTAGGCTCCAAGAGCTACAGCAAGTGACTGGCCCCTGAGATCGCCCACCCACCCTGCCAGCCCCACCCCAGGGGGCCACCCTGGTACCTTATTTTCCAACACAACCCTAACTTTCAATAAAGTGTCTACAAGCAGAGAAGCATTGGTGACTCAGATTTGTTAATTCAAGACAATCCTTGGGAGACACCAAATTAGATCTTAATACTGTTTCTGAGGTTTGAATCCCAGGCTGCTGTTTCCTTCCAACAAATGTTTATGGAGCGTCCTCTGTGCTGGGTGCTGGGGAGGCCAGGACCCTACCCTCCAGAAGGAAAGAAAGGCAGGTAAACAGACATTTACAGTGACGCAGGGAAAGGGATTGATCAAGGGCAGGCCCCAGGGGACAGAGTCTCACCTGTGTGTTAGAAAGAATGCTCTTGTGAAGGCTCCAGAATGGAGGCAGGAGACCAACTTGGGCTGGGACAATATTCTGGGCGAGAGACACTGAGTTCTGAATGGGGGCAGTGAGGGTAGAGATGGGGGAAGTCACAGACCCAAGAACCCTTTAGGAAGTAGAATTGACAGGACCTGGTTGAGCATGAGAGGACGTAGGGGTAAGGATGCAGAATTATTACCCCGGCTTTTGGTTGACCTGGGTTCCCAGATAAATAGCTGATTTCATCCTTCACCCTCCTGAGGGACACACTTAATGAAGACAAATCTTCCGTTACTTTCTGTTTTAATCTCTCTCTCTGCCCCCCATTATACATTCACACAAGTCACCCAAAGTCAAAGCAGGTGGAGCCAGTTAACAATCTGTCATTTGCACGGCATCTCATGAGATGTGTTTACACACATCATCTCATTTGAATTCAAAAGTCAGTGAATATTCATATGTTGGAACTATCGCCTCTATTTTCTAGATAGAAGGTGAAGGTTGGAAAGGCTGTGCTGTGCCTAAATTCACACAGGGACAAGGTAGAGGATTAGAGTTCTACTCAGGTCTTCTGATTTCTCTGCTCTTTTGCACTTTCTGGCCATCCAATAAGCCTATAGGCACATCATGTGTCCTATAAAACCTGCTGATATCACTGAAAACCCCAGGTAACCTCTAACCTCCATTATAAGCTCTTTTCACTAGGGTGGTTCCATGTAAGTATGGTTCCAAGTACAGTGCCTTAACTAAAGGATATTCCCAGAGGCAAGTGGTCCCAAGATTTATCAATGGCTCGGTGACCCATCAAGGACCCAGACCCTTTGTAGCCTTCCTCTCTGCTGTCTTCAGCACATGGATTATGTCTCACTTCACTAACACGATACGCTGCCACAGCTCCAGACATCACATCGCCTCCTGACAGCATCCTGTGCTGGAAGCAAGCAGGGCAGGTACAAGGGGCCTTGCCTTCAAGTGCCTCTTTCTTTTCTTGGAAAAAATCTTTCCCAGAAATCCCTAGCAGATTTCCCTTTACATCTCATTGTCTAGAAGGGAATTGTGTCCCCACTTTCAGACTAAGTCACTGACAGTGGGGATGGAGCTTGCCATAATCTGATGAGACCAGGCACGACTTACTCCCTAGAGAAGGAGATGAGATTGCTATCCCAACGAAGCTGAAGTACAGTTAGTGATACATGGAGAGACAGTTATTGGGTAAATAGCTGTCTCTTCTGCCATATAATTCATTTTTGTTCCCAAGACCGTGAAAGTTGGTCCCTCCTACCCATCCTTGGGGTCATTCTTGTTTGGCCCAGAGTTGGAGTTGGCCTGAAACACCTCTTTATTCCTTCAGTCCCCAGAGTGGGGTATAAAATCAGGTGAGCACACGTGACCTCATGGCGGAGGCCATGGTCCTGGTGCTTCCTGGTGCCCTTAACACAGGATCAGGCCCCTGGACCTGGGGGCTCAGACAGAATGCAGGGGAGACAGCACCAGGAGGCAGGACGCTGCCTTCCCAGTCCTGCTTGGCTCTCTTGGGAGATCCAGAGGTGGCGGTGGTGGGGTGGTGGTGGTGCGGGGGATGAGAGATGGCGATGTGAACGCTTGGCCCAACGTTGCTGGTTTTGAAGATGGAGGAAAGGGCCCTGAGCCCAGGGATGTGAGAAGCCTCCAGAAGCTGGAAAAGGTAAAGAAATGGATTCTTCCCAAGGACCTCTAAGAAAGGAGTGCAGCCTCCTGACACTTCGATGTCAGCCCCCAGCTTGCTGATCTGTAGAGCTGCAAAATGTAAATTTGTGTTGTTTTAAGCTCACACATGTGTGGTCATTTGTTACAGCAGCTGTAAAAACCTGATACACTGTTGTACCTGTTCAGGGGTATATTTATCCTTCCCTTGAGCCAAACCTCAGGCATGGCTCCGTAGTTTCCCCAATAACAGATCCAGTCCCATCCAAAATTCAAACCCCACAGTCACCATCAGCAGCCAGGGAAGTGGCTTGTTCTCGCTCTTTAACAAGCTTGCGGTGGGTGATGGACTGATGCTCGCAGAGCTGGCAGGGGCCACCCCCTTTGTAGGGCCCAGCACCGGATGCCACCTGTTACTCGTTCTCAGCCTTTGAAAACTGAGATAGAAAACATCCCATTTTAACATCCTGTCATGGTAATTCTGCCGACTTTGCAGATTCGCCCCGCTGATGGAGAGTGCTAATGCGTGTGAACAGAAGACACCAAAGTGCTGTCCACGGAGCCTGGAAAGTTAACCCAACTAGGGACAGCTCTTACGGATGAGTCAGCTTGTGAGAAAGGCAGGGATGGGAAATCAGAGGGTCCAATGGCCAGGCTCTCTTGACTCTTGCCCTAGAATAGCTCTCGGAAAAGTCCGGCCACAGAGACGCATGCAGTAGTCAGGCCATTCGAGCT